GCAAAGACACGTTCAATGCTCTGAAAAGTTTGTTGTCACCGAGAGTAGTAATGCCACGCCTCGACAGTGGTGGCGCTAAGTGTCTTGGAGACAAAATATAGCAGTGTACCAACCCTGACGACTTTCCCTATATATGTACAATATTTTATCAGAAATTTATAAAAATATTAATGTCATATTTTTTTTAACTTTTTTGTGACACTTGTTTGACTGAACATTCAAGATTTTTCTAAATTTTATACTTTTTTAATTACATATTTTTATAATACAAGATACATATGTTTTATGTAAATACATATATTTATACATTGTTTAAAGAAGTTTCTATATATTTTCTTAAATTTTTTCAGTATAGTTTGTGTAAGTTTACTTATTGGAAAAAATATGAATAACTCTCGTAAAAGAAAACTTGTTTCAAAACGTCATGGTAGACGGATTATTGCAAATCAAACAGATATAGATATTGTAGGATGTTCTGAAGAAATTTTGGAATGGCATACTATCAATACTTCTTCTAAACAGTCTTTTATAAATATAGAATTGCAAAATGTTACTAGGGAGAGTGAAGAAGTTTATTCATGTAAAACTAATTGTTCGAGATTGACCATAATCACGGCATACGCGCGTGATGCCAAACTCGAGCGCGGCGGCAACGGTCGCGCTCAGCTCCCGCCGCCGTCACCGGCGCCCAATCACGGGCTGCTTCTCCGCGAGCAGCGCGAAACGGCGCGCTCGAGCAAAACATATTTTTCACAAAAGCGAGCGATGACAACCCATGCCCTTCTACAAGGCTCCGACAATTATCACCTTATAAGGCAATCTTGTTCGTTGTTTGACAAAAGGATAGGGGGGAGCCTTCTAGAGGGGCATGTGTCGATAAAAAGCAGGAGCGAGGGGGCGCGTAGCAAGTTTTTTCGTAATCCGTCTCCGAGAGCCGTGTCCGCTCGCGCTGTACTTTGTGCTACTCCGCTAGCTCAGACGTTTGTTCCGTCGCGAATGTAACGAAGAAAATTGTAAATAGTGTGAAAGTGCCCTTTTTATTAAACTGTGTCGTAAAAATCGCCTTCTGTTCACTTAAGACCCTTTTCGGGTTTCCTCTCCTTACTCCTCGCTAGCGTTCGCCTCCGCGCGACCTCACACCTACTCCGCGTTCGTACACTAATAATCCTATAATTGAAATGATTAATGTACCTGATGTCGAAATTACTCCTTTAGAAGATCATAATAAATGTACAAATAGTATTGAAACTTCTAATCAGAATTCTATTATAAATAAAATGCACAGACATAATGTTAATAATGATAATGAGGTAAATAAAGCAATAGCTACATGGGCTGTATCATATAATATTTCTCACACAGCTTGTAATAGATTATTACAAATTTTAAATCAATATACTTTAGATAATTTACCATTAGACGTACAAACGTTATTACAAACTCCAAGACAAACCAATATTTTAAAAATGTGTGAAGGGGAATATTTTTATTTTGGTTTACATGATATTATTAAAAAAATGTTATTAAAAAATAATAATAAATGTATTAATTTACTTATTAATATTGATGGCTTGCTATTAGCCAAATCTTCTCAAGCATCATTATGGCCTATTTTATTATAGCTCTAATACTGTAAACGAGACAGTATATCTCGCTGGTGCATATTTTGGCTATAAAAAACCTACAGATTCTAATTTTTCCTGCAATCTTTAGTTGAGGATTTAACTAATTTGATCAGTAATGGTTATATTTATAATGAAAACGTAATTCAAATTAGGTTGTTTACGTTAATTTATGATGCACTCGCTAAATTCTTGTGTTGTGTATAAAAGGCCATACCGGTTTTCATAGTTGCACGAAATGTGTAATTAAAGGAAAATATATCAATGGTAGAGTTTGCTTCCCATATAGAAAAACATTATATTCTTCTAGAAATGATGAACTATTTTCTGTTAATGCTTATAAAGATTTTCAGATTGGCTATTCTATCTTAAATAATATTCCTGGATTTTTACACTGGCGTGTCATCTATATTTGACGTATCTTGCGCTAAAGTTAATTTTTCCAAACCTTCTTCATAAGTTTCTAAATCATAAATAACAAAAAAAATTATAAAATAGTTTACATATATTAAATAATTTATTTATATGTAGTTGAGTTGAGGGAACAAAAAAAAGAGAAGACGTATAAAAGCTAAAAGACATTTATTATTATCATCATCTTCAGAAGATGTATATTCAAATAATAAAGAAAATAGATTAAAGATAAAACAACCTAAAATCTTGCCTCCTTTTCCTAAAAGAAATTTTACAATTGATAATGTTATTGACAAACCTATACAAAGCGTTACAAATATTTTACGTCAAACTAATTTTATTAATCCTATGAGCAATATTGGTGAATAATAATAAAAATTTATAAATATACTACATAATATTTACAAAAAATTATTAATAACTTTTCATTTTTTAGACGTAAATAACAAGAAGCAACTTGATACAAACGATAAATTTCATATGCATGATTCTTCTAGAGATACCGGGAAAGGAAATCTTTATACTGATGGTATTTATTATACAAACTAATTATGATTGTACTTTTTTCTTCTTTTTATTAAAAAGAAATGTATACATATAAATATATATATATATAT